AGCCCCTTCTTCCATACGTCCTCTACAACCTTGACCCATTCCGTGGGTTGTCTACCCTTTTTGTTTGCCCACTTCGCCTCCCATACTATTCTCGGGAACCTCTCCTCTCCCATCCCGCACATGCGATACTGCCATGTCAGCTTTCTTGAGTCTCTACCCGACCGTAGGAAATAAATTCTGCCCTGCTGCATAACGGCTGCATTACTTGTGCGCCTGGAGCATCCTAGGATGGTTTTCGCTGCTTTCATCTGCGCCGCCTCGAGTTCTTTCACTACCTTCTTATTTCCTTCCCATACTTCTCCGGCGTACTCTAGCGGCGGTACGATTACGCTCTTCAACACCGTCAATTTGATGCGTGTATTGAGGTGCCGGGNGCAACCTCTCCTCTCCCATCCCGCACATGCGATACTGCCAGGTCAGCTTCCTCGCGTCTCTTCCCGACCGTAGGGATTGGATCCCCAATTCTGCCCTCACGGCTGCATTACTTGTGCGCCTGGAGCATCCTAGGATGATTTTCGCTGCTTTCATCTGCGCCGCCCCGAGTTCTTTCATTACATTCTTATTTCCTTCCCATACTTCTCCGGCGTACTCTAGCGGCGGTACGATTACGCTCTTCAAAACCGTCAATTTGATGCGTGTATCGAGGTGCCGGTTTGCGAGTATTGGGTGCAGCTTCCCTGCTCGTGCTATGCCCTTTTCCGCTATCCTGGACATGGGTGCATTCCACGAGCAGTCTTTTGCTGCCTCTACTCCGAGGAATGCGTACTGGTCCACTACTGAATCTCCTCGATGCCCCACTTCTATCTATGTTGTACTGGTGCCTTCCTGTCCTCGTTGCATACCATGACGGCACTCTTCTTAACGATGTCGGACAATCTCCACTTATCAGTAAACTTCTTCGCCGCGTCAATTTGCAGTTGCAGTCCCTCAGGGGTGTCCGACGTACCAACAAAATCATCCGCAAACAGCATTCCTGACACCGAAGCTTCCGTGTCCCCTACTTTTACTCCCTTCCGGACTGCCAGTACGACTTCCAACAGATCGTTGATGTACACTTGGAACAATGTTGGGGACAGCCTGCAACCTCGTGGGACCCCCTGCTCAATGTCGAAGAATTTATTCAGTTCTCCATCTAGCATGACCACGCTTTTCGTACACTCTGTCAACTTCTTCAGCACTCGCCACATTTTACCCTTGATCCCGTATTTGGACAACTGTTTCCACAGCCTATTTCTCCATACGGTGTCGTATGCCTTTTTCACGTCCAGGAAGAAACAGTACGTATGCCTTTTTCCAGCCCTTTCTCTACCTTGGATGATTTTTCCTACCGTGAATGCGTGGTCTACTCACCCCCTCTTCTTTCGGAAACCTGCCTGGCCCTCGCTAATGCTATGTTGCTTCTCCAATACTCCCTCTATCCTATCGTTCAGCAGCTTACAGAACACTTTTCCTACTGTCTTACACAGTGTGATCCCCCTGTAGTTTCCTAGGTCGGTCTTGTCTACTTTCTCAAACAGGTTCGCAACCACTCCTTCCCTCCATCTACATGGCGCNAATGCGTGGTCTACTCACCCCCTCTTCTTTCGGAAACCTGCCTGGCCCTCGCTAATGCTATGTTGCTTCTCCAATACTCCCTCTATCCTATCGTTCAGCAGCTTACAGAACACTTTTCCTACTGTCTTACACAGTGTGATCCCCCTGTAGTTTCCTAGGTCGGTCTTGTCTACTTTCTCAAACAGGTTCGCAACCACTCCTTCCCTCCATCTACATGGCGCATACTCGTTTTTCCACACCCATTTGTACAGCAGTACCATCAGCTGGATCATCCCCCCCAAACTTCATCAACTCGTTGACCATCCCATCCGCCCCTGCTGCTTTGTGGTACAGCAGCTTGTTCACATACGCCTCAACCTCGTCGTCATTCTCCGAGGGCACTCCAAGTCTCTTGTAGTGTCCTGCTAGAACTTCCCTTTTTCCCTTCCCACTGCTGGCTAGTCCACCGTTCACACCTCGCAAAGTTGCTACCCCTGTATCCCCCCCTTGCGCGGTCTTTTTTACCATCCCACTAATCTCTTCCTACATCTGCTTGGCGTTCCTCTCCAGGCCTCCGTTGGCCTTCTGCACTTTTCCGTCCCAATTGCACTTTTTCTTCTTTTTCTTCTTTTTCACCAGTCCCTTCGCCTGTTCTCTCTTGGCCCTGTACTTTTCCCAGTTCTCCTCAGACCCCTCACTCAGGTACTGCTTGAAGACTTCTCTACGTTCCCCTAATTCTTCTCTCAGCTCATCATTCCACCACTTAACCGATACCCCACATCGTGCCACCTTCTTTTCCGCTACTCTATGCCGTTGTGATCACTATGGACTACGACCCTTCAATCACCCTGTCCTCTGCTGCTTGTACGTCCACCTGTCCGTCTTCGACGCTTCTCAGCAATTTCCTGAAGGGTTCTACACTTCCAACCAGTCCCTTCTGGAATTCATCCCGTGTCCCCTCGTCCCCCAAACGCTCTACTTTCCACCAGAACACTTTCCTCTGTTTCTTACTCTCCATCTTTCTAGATCGGTCGATGTTTGCCCATGTGAGGAAGTGGTCGGTCGAACCTCTATCTATCGCACATACGTGCGGCGCTGGGATCTGTGTGCTCCCCCTATCTACCAGGATGTAGTCGAGGATTGAGTATTCATTGCAAACTGCCCTTTGCCTGGTGAACTCCGGCTTATCGCATTCCCTCCTACCGTTCAACACCATCAGCTCGTTGCTTCCCAAGAATTCAAGCATCCTCACTCCGTTGTCATTCACTTTCTCTTCACCGTACTGCCCGATCGCTTGTCCTCTACTGGAAGCTTTCCCTACTCCGGAGTTGAAATCGCCCACCACGACAACTTCTCCCTTCCTACTGAACGTCTGGACATCTTCCCCAATTTGTCCAAAGTTCTCCTGCGCCTTGCTTGCGACTTCCTTCGACGACGGTGGGACGTACACGTTCCCTGGAAACAAGTCTTTCTCACCCCGCTCCCCACGTATCTTCAGCCACAGGCTTTCCTCCAGCTCCGTTTTCACCACTACTTCCACCACGTCACCCAAGTGTTCCTTAACCACCAATCCGACTAACCCCTCCCCCCTTTTTTCGGGTCTAAGACCTTTCTTGCCTTCCCTACCCACCGGTATTTCCCTAGTTTGCTTACCACGTCCCCATCCTTCAATTCCCACGTCTCTTGGATCCCCACTTCATCTACATCGCTTTGTTCTGCTCGGTCCCNCCGCTTGCGCTCACTCCTTGCGAACCCGCACACGTTCCACGACCCGACTCTCAGCTTGCGCTTTTCCCTATTGGAGATTTTGCGCACACCATCGTTCGCCTTCCGCTTCTTCTCGGACTTCTTCTGACTTGCTTGCTCGACTGCCCTGCTCGGTCCTTTCTTCGCCTCCGTCGCCCTCGCCTCTTGTCTCCTTACCTTCTCTGTTTCTACCATGTTCGCGATGCAAACCCTCCATCCAAGTTTCCTTACGTAGTTCGACAGCCTCGNCCGCACACGTTCCACGACCCCACTCTCAGCTTGTGCTTTTCCCTATTGGAAATTTGCCCACTCTGTCGTTCGCCTTCCGCTTCTTCTCGGCGTTCTTCTGACTTGCCTGCTCGCCTCCCCCGCCCGGTCCCTTCTTCGCCTCCACCTCCTTCGCCTCGTGTCTCCTTACCTTCTCTGTTTCTACCATGTTCGCGATGCAAACCCTCCATCCAAGTTTCCTTACGTAGTTCGACAGCCTCGCGATGTCACCCCCCAAGCACTCTTGGCTGTCTCCCTTGGTCAATTTCACCCGGAAGTGTTCATGCTCTCTGCCTACTTGTTCCCTTGCTAGGCAGTGCCGCCCCCCCCTGTCATNTCTTCTGACTTGCCTGCTCGCCTCCCCCGCCCGGTCCCTTCTTCGCCTCCACCTCCTTCGCCTCGNCGTAGTTCGACAGCCTCGCGATATCAACCCCCAAGCACTCTTGGCTGTCTCCCTTGGTCAATTTCACCCGGAAGTGTTCATGCTCTCTGCCTACTTGTTCCCTTGCTAGGCAGTGCCGCCCCCCCCTGTCACAACAGTTCTTGAACTCTATCCTCGTCATGTCCCTTGGAATCCCAAACAGCAGCAGCTTCAACTTGTCCCCCTTCCACAATTTCCGTTTCCATCCTCCCGGCTTGTTCACCATCCTCATGATCCCTACGGCAACTGGGCCGCAGTAGCCACTTGTTGTCCGTGTGTTTCAGGAAGGTATACGGAATACTCGGCCTTCCCAATCCGAGTGCCCGGCGGGGGTTGTGGTTACTTTCAGTTCTTTTGCCGGCTCACCAACGCTAAAAAGCGCCTCCACATAGGCTCATAGTTCACACCTCATGGCACAAGTACCCCAGTCTTGCGCCGGGCGCTCTGCGTAGTAAACACCCAGACGTCCCCTGACCACCCAATTTATCATCACCGAAATCCCGCGGTACAAGCCACATTCCTCCTGGGAGGTCATTTTCACCACAATAATATCAGGGACGACTTGCATAGTCTAAGACCCTACTCACACGCCGGGATGGTGCGTACACCAACGTCCAGCTTCTCATGTACACTCCACCATGGGTTGCTCCCCCATATACGCTCCCGAGTAGACCCTATCTATCTGCCGAAAGTTTGGCCAACAATTCCTTACTGCTTTGTACTCGCCTCTCTCCAATCGAAAACAATGCATTGTGCGTGCCGCACATCTAGCTCCGCAGTTTTTGCGTGGTTGGTCAGGTCGTTCAGCTTGCTCGACTTGAGTAAAAAGCTTTGCTTTGATGGCTCTATGTTTTATTGATCCACTTCAAGCAATGAACACCCACCCCCCTCCACCGTCCGATCCATTTTGGATCTCACGCGGGAGAGTTTTGGGGTGTCTTAGCTCTAAGTCCTCCACCGCCCAATGGGGGACTGTAGTATTTTTTTTATTGCCGTACCAATAGGCATTGACCTTAGGTAAACTTGTGCTCACTTTGGACTGCACCCTCCTTATCCTCTGGGGGAGGTAGATGGGGGGGGGGGGG